ACTGGGCCTCCCCCTCTTCCCCCTATATAGGGGGAAGAGGGGGAGGCCCAGTGATGATGTCACTTCCCCCTTTTATAGCATCCAATATCACATGATTTAGTCACATGTACATGGCAGCTGTTACCCATATTTTGACTGGAAACACCTTAGGAACAAAGACTGAACTGGGAAAGGGGGTCCCAGGTGGGACAGAAGAATTTCTGTCTGTGTATGCAAAAGCTGTAACCTGCTTGTACTAGATCGCAGGGTGAGACACTGCTTGATTCAAATCCTATCTAGTTTCTAAAGCTTAGTTTGCAGTTTTGTTTTATTTCTTAGGTAATCACTACTTATAATTACTTAAAATCTTTCTGTGTTATGTCAAGGCTGCTTCCCCACTCTGAACTTTAGGGTACAAATGTGGGGGCCTGCATGAAACTTCTAAGCTTAACTACCAGCTTAGATCTGGTCTGCTGCCACCATTCCCAAAGTGCTAATTCCCTTCCCTGGGTAGCCTTGAGAAACTCTTCACCAATTCCCTGGTGAATACAGATCCAAACCCCTTGGATCTTAAAACAAGGAGAAATCAATCAGGTTCTTAAAAAGAAGGCTTTTAATTAAAGAAAAAGGTAAAAATCATCTCTGTAAAATCAGGATGGAAAATAACTTTACAGGGTAATCAAACTTAAAGAGCCCAGAGGAATCCCCTCTAGCCTTAGGTTCAAAGTTACAGCAAACAGAGATAAACACTCTAGTAAAAAGGTACATTTACAAGTTGAGAAAATAAAGATAAAAACTAACACGCCTTGCCTGGCTGTTTACTTACAAGTTTGAAATATGAGAGACTTGTTCAGAAAGATTTGGAGAGCCTGGATTGATGTCTGGTCCCTCTCAGTCCCAAGAACGAACTCCCGAACAAAGAGCACAAACAAAAGCCTTTCCCCCCACCAAGATTTGAAAGTATCTTGTCCCCTTATTGGTCCTTTGGGTCAGGTGTCAGCCAGGTTACCCGAGCTTCTTAACCCTTTACAGGGAAAAGGATTTTGGAGTCTCTGGCCAGGAGGGATTTTATAGTACTGTACACAGGAGGGCTGTTACCCTTCCCTTTATAGTTATGACATAGAGGTTAAAGAGCAGTTATTGGCCCAAGAGGCAATGCCCCCTCACCCCAGCTGGGCATGCTCCCAGTGGAGGGAGCATTCAAAGAGGAGCAGCAGCTTGGCTTAGTGTCAGCTGACTTAGGAGAGTGGTTGTGTGCAGCAGTCTCTTGCTGGGGAGCCGCCGTGACTGCAAGCCACTAGGGTCAAGCCTCCTAGTTGTACCACAGGAAGCCAGCTGACCACTGGAACCGAAAGGGACAACTTGCTGTTGCCAGCAGAGGAGCTGCTGGAGATGGAGCAGAAGAGACACAAAAGAAACTACACATGTCCAACCCTGGGGATGATGCTGGAGTGACCCAGGGAACGCGCTTAGGGGTATTGGGACCTGAACCCTGTGTCAACATTCCTTCTTTTGAAGGGCCCTGAGTTGGAAACCAGTGGAGTAGGGCAGGCCTGGGATCCCCTAACCTCCCCATGCTTGCCATGAGGCAACTCTATCCTGATAGTGCTGCTAGGCAAAGCGGCTCCTTGGACTCTCGCCAGCAGGCATTATGCCCCAGAATATCACCATTAGGCGGTACTGCTGGCTCAGGGCTCCCAACCAACCCCAACAAGATTATTCAGCCACTTATACTTACCTCTTTCATTTTATGTCAGTGAAAAGGGGGAGGGGAGGAAGAGAGGAGAGGATCTTCAGAGATGAAACAAGCTGTTCATTCCTTTCTACCCTAGAAATTACTGTACATTAATTTATATTCTCTGTGCAATTAGAAGGCCTAAAGACTCACTTTTTATTTTAAATGAAAGCCAAAATTCTCCTTCCTGGATCTGAAAAACCACCTGCTTTTAATGAAGGGCTCCCACAACCCCCTGCAGACCCCCTCCTGCTCATCACAACTGCATTGTATAAGTTGTCAAGAGGGAAACAGGAGGTTTGGGCAGGAGAAAACTGGAGGGATGGGCAGCTGGGTGCTTTTTGCAGCTCGGGCAGTAGCAGGTTGGAAACGTGGGGTAAGGAAATAGGCTGGAGGTTTCTACTAAAATGATCCTCATTAAAATAATTTACAATGTTAACACTTTAAGTATCATCTTAAGGCTTTATCATTAACATCCCATTGAGAACAATGGAGACATTCACACCTCTCAGAGCTATGGTTTCTGGTTGTGTGCAGATTCCGGAAGACCCCACTGAACTGATTCCCACTGAGCATACTTTTAAGGTATTTTTACTCCCATGAAACCTAGAAAGGGGGTTGTTGTTAGTTTTTTGGTTTGTTTTTCTTGGGCATTTCTCTAATTATGGAGCAAGATCAGGATCTAGTATTTTCAACACATCCTTCCCTGTGATTTATTATGATCTGTGGTTGCCCTTTCATTTTAGAGCAGAACAAAATGAAATATATGAAATAATTTACCAGTTCAGAAAACCAGAAATGTTTTAGTTTATCAGCACAGGATATTCTTGGAGCAGAAAGTGCACTTTACCAACAGATATTAACACAAAATTATATCTTGTCATCAAACCAAGTTTTAAAAAGTGTATTAGTGACACCTACTGGCATGAAAATTTTGTCTTTGCATATTCGCATGTACCAGCTAGAGATATTGATACATTAATGTCTGATTGTTCTAATGATAATCCTTGTTGTGGTAAAATTTGAACAAAAATTATCAATACTGCAAGCAAATGTTACGGGGAAAATCTGTACACATTAGCATGGGGCTGACAGCAATAATATGGCATTTTGGCATCAGCAGCAGCACAGGAAGTTTTGAAGGGATATTTTAAGTTCTCCTAAGTAGTAAAGCTTGTAGGATACAGGCCCGGATATACCACATCATGCTGAAATATCCTTTTCAAACTGAAAGGTCTTGTAGTAACAGAATATTCAGGTTTACACAATTTCAGAACTACTTCAAAAGTGTGTGGAATAGAACTAAAGAATTCAGAGAGATGTTGATGAATTTGACTGTCATTTAAGAACAAATTTTTTTTAAAAAGGAGAGAAGGCAGGGAAGATATTCTGGGCCAGATTTTCTGGTGCATCAGAACTGCACTTGTCACAGCAGAGAAGAGGAGGGAGCCATCAGACAGTGATTACAGCTCCCTGATTTCTCTTGCCTGTTATGCCCCAGCTCAAGTGGAAAGCTAAATGTCAGATGGTAACAGTCTCCGAGGGAACATCTGCTAGCTGGGGTTTGCAGGAGTGCTGGGTGTCCCTCTCCTCTCCCACTGACCTCAGTGGATGACTCGTGCTTCAATACCTGGTTAAACTGGGACCAGCGGGTGTGTTTGTCATGTGGCCAGTGTAAGAGGTACAGTGTTGTTAACTATTCATTTCTTTGCTTTTAAGTGCTTGGGTTGTGTGAATCATATGATGAGTGACATGAGTGTATTTGCTTAACAACCTTAACAGATTTTTTTAAACCCATGTGTGTGTTTTTGGAATATAATTATATATAAAACACATTACAATTCCCCACCATATTTTTACAAACTATGATACTCAAGAGAGAAAACATGTAGGTCTCCCAATGACATGATTCTCTCACATTCTTTATTTCATAGTGCCAGGGCCAGTTCTTCAAAGGGCCCAAGTTCATAATCTCAGATTCAGTTTCTCTTGTATATTAACCAATAATCACAAAAATTATGTGCAAAGTAAGTAATTTTATTGATTGTAATGAATGTGAGCTCTCAAGCAAGATGACATACTACTACTAATTAGCACAACAAAATAGTAGCAGGATCTCATAAAGGAAAAACAGATCTGACTTATCTGGATGTGTATATATAATATAGAGGTAATCATATATCTTTTGAACTTTGTATAACACAAAATAAGTTACTTTAGCTCGTTACATGGAAAGATCCACAGTCTTACCAGCAAGGAGTAAAATATTTGCATTTCACTAGTCAGTTGCCCTGCAAACCTTTCTCCTGAGTTTGTTTTATTTTGAACATGATTAATTGTAAAAGGGAAGAGGCAGAGGGAACATTTTGCTCTATGTGAAAAGCTGCTTATTTGCAAGAGGACCAAGCTGGTATAAATCCCAACATTTTACAGCTTGCAGCCCTTGATCCACCGGGAGACATCTCATCCTCCGCAGTACTTTTTCCACGCCACCCTGTGTGAGTTAAAATCATGTTAATTGATTGTGGCAAGTTCATCAATCAGTGCAGAGCCGACCCCCCCCCCCCCGAAAAAAACCAAACACCTCAAATTTATGTACTTTTAACTCTTCTGCAGAGAGACAAGCTAATATAACAAGTAATTTGCTACTGGCCCAATCCTGGCACAGCGCCTGCCTACTCTGCATGGCTCAACTGGATCCTGGAGCTATGCATGCCTGAATAAATCCCAAGTCTGCCAACACTTCCTAAAAGGTTGCCAGATGGTTGCCAAAGGCCCACTTACGAGCTGCTACTCCTGCCACAGAGGATTGGTGTACCAATTGGTGTATCTTCTGTACCATTTGTACCACTGCTCTCTACTGGATGGAATCAAATTTACTCAGTTTTGTGCCAGAAGCTCTATCTTGCTAAATAGAACTCATGCACATTCCCTTTTAGCTCCAGCTGGAGGGGGCTAAGGTGATGCAAGTTCTATCCCCACTGCCACAATGAAATATCAAGTGGCCCTGCTGTGTTGCACAGACATAATCTTGAAGCTCTTGGTAGTTATGGATTTGTTACATTGGTGTTTGATCTGGGATTTGAACTCCTGGGAACCTCAGATGATCAAGAAATACATTTCTCTAAGTAGTCTCCCCCTAAGTTTACACATACAAGTATGTCACTGTTACTAGTTCTTGTAATAGTTTTAAACATACCATGCACTCATGCCATTGGAAATGCGAACAATTCTCTTTGCACAGTTTACACCCGCTGTAATGTCTGCTGTCAGTAAGGAAAAAAAAGAAATACAGTAGTAAATATAGTGGGAGGGGAAAAAAAATCAACATTTTCCTCTTCATTTTTTTGAATCAGTCATCTTAAAACTGATTAATAATAATAAAAACTAATTTCTGTATTAATCAATCACATTTATTACTGTGGTATCTAAGGACCCACCAAGAATGGGGCCTGTGGTGCAAGCAGAGTAGCAGATAGTCCTTGTTTTGAAGAGCTTACAATATAATAGAGAGACAGATGCACCGTGGGAGAAAGGGATGTAACACACAGAGTGAACAATGTGATGGTGTCAAGCAGATTACTTTGCCCCTACCACGACACTGGATTCCACATGCGTTCTTGGCTCTTGGAGTCTTGCCATCATTACACCAACAGCGGCTGTTGATTTGAAAAATCCCATAGTCAGTGCTTCTGGAAGGTTAGCTATAATGCGTGGCACCTGTGTTAAAGTCGCTCTCGTATCTTGCTGTGCACACCCTTGTGAAGGTTCCGTTTTAAAAAAATAACCACACACAGATTGATGTATTTTCTCTGCTGATAAAAACTCCTCATAGCTTGATATTTTACAGAAATATGGATCTAAACACCCCTTATCACCTGTTTGTAGATTATGCAAATGATTTAATACAAAGTACACACAGCCAGCTTTTCTTCCTTTTATTCTTATGAGAGTCACAATCCTTATTAAATATGAAGTGTAAGAAAAATCATTCTATATATAAAACTTTTGATTGTCATCTGAACACTGCATGGGGCCTACATCTTTGAAGGAAACACCAGTGTTTTGGGGTAAAATGCTACAGAGACAGAAACACCTTTCTAAAGAAAATATTAACAACATGCAAATCAAAACCAATAAATATTACTAAGGAAAGACATGGGGAAACATCATCATTTCTCTGGCAGGGAATGACTCTGCGTGTAATGAACTCATAAAATGCAGTTAAGTGAGATGGAACATTTCTTTCCTGCTGTTTCCAACAGGGGGAGGATCAATGGTGAAAGACCTACTGTAAAGAGGGCTCCAGGTAGCCATTGGCATTTTAATACTGCTTTGTCCATTCCTGTTGAAAATAGGTCTAAACCACGGCACCTGCTGAAGTTTTATCTATGCTAGTGCCGTCACCTTTGTTTCCATAGATGGTGCTGCATAAGTATTAGCAATGATGGTAAACTTTAACCAGAGCACTCTTATTCTTTCCTCATTTACAGCAAGTGGATCTGAATTAGTCAGGTTAGAAGGAAGGAGTCTTTGATTTGAGATATTCAGGGCTGCATAAACATCATGTGTGTTTAACTCTCTGGATTGTGGCTCAGAACACAGGTAAACAAACCTTAAAAACAAACTAGTTGAATAATAATTTCCTATCACTGCTAACAAATGAAGAAAGGCCCTCACCCTTCTCTCGCCCGTGGGGCCCACTCGTCTTATGTGCTCTTCTATGAGTCCTGATTCCCCCTCTCTTCCTCACTTCTAAACTGCCCCACCCCTTATTCTCCATCCAGGCTCTCCAAGGATCCCTCTCCCTCAGCCCATCGTCTCGAATTTAATCACATAAGTTTGAATTGGGGGGTTTTGAGATGCTGCTGGTGATCCTCCCACCCAGGCCTTGTGCTGTGCTCTGCATCCCAAATCCAGCACTGTCTCCCTGCTCAGCTACAGTGAGGCTCAAAGAGCAGAGCGTGAGGGGTGCAGACATCAAACATGGAATTGTACAAAGGCTATAACTAGGAATAATGCGATGGAATTGGGGGAAGGTCTCTCAGACTGGTGTCAGGAAAAGGTTCCTGACAGTGCAAGCTGTTTAACTGTGGGAGGGTTTCAGGGAAGAAGTGATATTCCCATTGCTTGGGACATTTTAAACAAGACTGAGCACAGCTGTAGGCAATACACTGCAGGGAACCAGCCTGTGCCAAGGACAGACTAGATAACCTAGGAGGTTTTTCCATCTCTAATGTCTAGGATTAATTCAATGGGTAAATCACCTGCCTACCCTCTGAATCACATGGACATCTCCTCCAAGGCAGCAGACTTACAGTGTCCCAGGCTGTAGCCCCAGTATCCATCCAGCCCAAGCCTTTTCATTGCTCTTGCCAGCTCACACCTTCCGTAGATCTTCCCATGAGCAGCCACGGGCAGGAGGAAAAGCCCCAGGATTAGCAAAACCTTCATGTTGGCAGTGTAGTAAACCCAGGCTGCTACCACTGATACTAAAAGGAAAGAGAGACATTGGTGAGACTGTAATCTCCTCTCCTCCACTTGAAGTCTCCACTTCCTGAGCGAAGTGGAAACAGGCCATGAGCAGCCTGGACATTTCTCAGTACTCTTGGGGTCACTGCCCAGAGGTTAAAATCGCTTAGCCATGGGGAACTGGCTAGCTCACTCACCTGGTGTTTTATTGCTAGATCCCTGCTACAATTCTGACGCAGGACATACAGGCCAAATGTGGTTACCATCTGATGGCTGCTACAGTGGCTTATAAAGAGCTAATGATCTGAGACCAGTACCCGTTGCACATTCATCCATATCCCGCGCACAAATCCCACCATCACGACTGAACCACTCTTTGCAGTCTTGACAGAGGTAAAGGTTTTAATTAGCATGAGAATTAAACCATGCTCTCACCCTGGAAAGGTGGTTTTTCTACTCCAGGGGCGAAGCTCCTTGTAGCAGTGAGAGCAAGCTTGCAATGCCACAATCTACCTATTTCGTTCTTATATGATGTCTGTCATCATGTGGTGTCTAAGGTCTCTCCAAATTATGAAGGGTGCAAAATTCTCTCTCGCTGCTCCATTGTATTTGTTTTGGTGCTGGGACTGTCGGAAGGCTAGTTTGAAGAAGTGAGTTTTGTAGTTAGCCCTGAAGCTTAGCCAGCATCTGTCCTGCGGGACTTACCCACATTGTTGGAGTCACTCTAAGGCAGCGGTCCCCAACGTGGTGCCCGCGGGCGCATCTATGTGCGCCCGCCTACTGACAAGGGAGCGCCCTGGACAAGCAGCCGCCGAGAAGTGGCCACGTCAAGAAGCGCTGCTGACGCTGCTTTTCGGTGGCATTTCGGCGGCTGCTTGTCCAGCGGCCGCGCTCCTCCGTGGCACTTCGGCGGCTAGTTGTCAGGCGCCCGCCACTCTGAAAGGTTGGGGACCACTGCTCTAAGGCATTTTATAAAGGAAATGCACAGCTGCTTAACTCTGACTGCCTTTTATAATTCAGGGTTAGTGTATGGAGTTCATGGCAAAACCAATAGGCAAGAGCCAACATAATCTGCATGTTTCTAAAGATCCTGTTACCTTCAAAATGTTTTGTTTCATTGGCTTTGCATGACAAACTACAAATACTTCGATAGCTGGGTTAAAAGGTTCTCTCATAGTTCACTGTGGCATTTGTAAATTCTGCTATGTATTTGGAGCCGCAGTGTGGTCTAGTGGACAGAGGACTGGATTGAGATCCAGGAGATCTACATTCTAGTTCAAACTCCTCCACTGGGCTGCAGGGTGACTTTGGGCAAGTTACTTCACCCCGCCTCAGTTTCCCCATACACAGAAAGGGCATATTTATACTTACCTCTTTTGTGAACTACAGATGACATGCTCTGTATAATTGCAAGGTATTATTATTCTGATCAAGTGCTATTTTGTGACTTACAGTAATACGTCTCACTAATGACTGGCTTTCTACACCCTAAGGGAATAGTTTATAATATATCATTTTCTCCAGTGGTGGGAGAATACCTTTATTACATGGATGTGTGCTAAATTAGGGCACTAACACCCTTTACACTGATACCAACAGGGCCTGCACATCACATCTAAAATCCCTATAGTACTTTGGAGACTCTGATTAAATTAAAAAAAAATGTGAGTGGGAATTTTGTCTGTATAAATACTACAGGCTCAGCCCCTCAGATTTCTGTTTCTGTAACACTGTAGAATGACAATAGCCACTCTGCAGTTAATGTTGTCACTCTATTTCTATTACACACCTGATTTAGGCCACTCCAGCCTGAATACTCAACCACAGGAATATCAGCTTCAAAACTGATAAAATAGGTCTGAGGGAAGATTTTATTTAAAAACCTGAAATGAATTGGACACCATAAAAGCAGAAGTTCAGAAAAAAACATTATTCGGGGGAGGGTGTATATATATTTGTCACTCTGTAGTAAAAAAATTTGGAGATCACATTTAGGTTACTGAGTACATCATGTACTAGCCTAAAGTCCAGAGCTGAATCTAGTTTGGGCACCTTAACTTTGATTTTCTACCCTTTCCAGTGTATGAGTTTCCCTGAATTTCCTGAGTTTATCTATTTCTTTTGGCTAGTGACAAGGTGCTTGTAGGGATTTATTGCACTGGAGTTGCTGATATGTACAGTCACCATTAACTTCACCTCAACAACATTTTTCCCCCTGGAATAATCCTTCTAAATGAGGGGATTATGGACTGTGACGAGATGTAAAATCCCAACACCTAAAACTAAAACTAAATTCAAATGGACTAGAGCTTCCTTCACTTAGGGTTTGTTCTTTATTATTATGAAAGCAAGGATGGACCAGTGGTTAGGGCTTCCCCATTCTGCCACAGATTTCCTCTGTCATTTAGTCTCTGTGTGCTTTCGTTCCGTACCTCACGGAGGTGACATGCAGTGTTCACACATTTCGATGATGGGAGCCATTTAATGCCATAGATAGATTGTATGTGGTGTGGGCCTCACTTTCCACATAACAAATACAGCTAAGATGCTCCAGTCTTAGCCTCCAGGCCTAGATTTGTACCTTACTATGCATGCAATTTATAGATGATAGGAAAACAAAACCCACCCCAGAACAGTACTGTATTGTTTTTCATCTTAAATCAGGAGAATTGTGAAAATACAGGGGGGGAAGTGAACAGCACTATGAAGAAATCCCTCTTGGGAAATCCAAAATTAGTATTTCTGACTCCCTGTAAAAATGTGTGGTTTTCTGTTACTGAAAGAAACACATACATTATTTTGTTTCCCCATTCATCTATCAACAGTTTGATTTTAACAGAGCACTGCAGAAGTTTGCCAAGCTGGGTGTAAAAATATATGTCTCTAGTCCCATTTGTGCCAATGTAATATCAGGTCCAATACTGTCTCCAGTACAGCTTATTCCTGGGTGGGGAGAGGACAGGATCCTTCAAGCCATTTTTGGACCCACAAGATATTTCCTTTCACACTTTCCCCTCTACCTACTATTCTAAAGACTTGGGAGTCCTAGGACCAGATCCTTTAAGGTACTTAGGTGCTTAACTCCTATTGATATCTATGGGGCCTCTCCCCAGAGGCCATCAGCACCAGTGGAGCCAAAGAGATTACTGGTACAAGATGCTTCCCCGTTCCTCAAGTCTCTGTCAGTGGGGCTAAGTGCATGTTCTGCACAGCATTGCTATCCAGTGCTATTCCTTTTCCAAGTTGGCTGAAACGCTGAAGACCAAGGGCTAGATCCTCAGCTGGAACATATCAGTGACTTCAATGGAGCTACACCAATTTACATTTGCTGATGATCTGGCCCAAAGTTGAAGAGTTCTTTTCCATACACTGTATGGCCAGACAGGAGAGCCCTAAACAATGTCATTCAGGAATTCCTAACTTCATGAAGTATGAAAAATGTCAACCATGGCAATTTAGTGAAGATAATACCCCAAATCTGTTGTTTTAAATGTTGATTTGGGGGGTATTTATAATATGACCTTTGAGTCTTTGTATGTGATAGACATTTATATAGTGTTTGTCTCCAAAAAGCCAAAGCAGCAGACTAGCTATAAAACTGTGTAATCAGAGAATGCTGCATCCCTCGTTGAATGCAGCCAATGCTGGCACTGAAAACCTTTAAACACTGTACAGCAGCACAACGGTGAAGAATTCTGTGTCCATTGCGAGTTCAAGCTGAACGTAGATGGCCAGAATGGAATCACCCCCACTGAGATCTGTCTGGAGTATAAACCATTACCGCTAACTCTGCCTAGGTCTTCAGAAGTAGGGCCATGCTTCCAATATTTTAACGATGGGCTCCCTCAAAAGTGTGCCATTCCTTGGGTAAACACCCTCCCCATGCCCCCAAACATAAAAGTTCAATTCTACACCCTTTCCCCCAACAAACAATCCTCATCGACACAAAACTCCACCCCCCCCTTTTCCTGGCAAACCACCTCTTGACTCACTACGGTTTTCCCCACCCGCCATTTCACAGAAGGCTCCTTGAGGTGGTTCCCCTACCTGGCAGCTCTTCCTGACAGAAGTAGCAATGATGCAGGTGGCTGTCCTGTGGCCTCTGATGGCAGCAATTCTGGTAGGTAGGGGTGATGTCCTGCAGCCTGTCCCTTCTGTGTTGATGGCTGGTTGAGAATTGAGTCCCCTTTGTTTCTTAAAGTAGATGGCTCTTCTCTGACATGGGGTGGGTAGGTGTGGGAGTGGGTCTCCAGTGGCTGATTGGGGTCAGAAAGGGGGTATTTCCTGCCTGTGATGGGAGTCAGATTAGAGAGTGGATGTTCTTTGTGTGGTGATGGAAGCTCCAGGCCCTTCCCATACCAGCTCTTCCTATTCTGAGCTGGGGCTGGGAAGGCAGGCATCAGGGGAGAGGAGACGGTTTCTAGATTCCCATGCTGTGCAGCTGCACTAGTTTATCTCCCACCCTGGTGTACCAGAGAGTGGCCAGCAAGGATTGGGGGATGTGAGGATTTAGCAAAATGCTGGAGGATGTAGGAGGGGGAATTCCCCTGAGCAGCGTTCACACCAGGCATTTGGGTGTGGCTAGCGCAGGGTAAATAAAGGATTTATTTGTTTTGTTGCTAATTTTGAAAAGTGGAAAAAAGTTGGTTTGGGGTCAGACAGAAAATGAAAATTTCCAGCAAACTGAAAAGTAAAGCAGAATTCATTTTTGATCAAACAAAATGTTTTGTTTGACTTCAACCCTTTTAAAATGTTCTTGATGTTTTTAGATAAAATTAAAAGAATTTTTGAAACAAAAAGTCATTGCAAGAAGAAAAATCAAAGTTGCCTTTTGAAAATGAGACATTTGGAGTCTTTGAGATTTTGTTTGTTTGTATTTATTCAAAATGAACAATCTGAAGCTTCCTGAGTGAGTATCAATCAGCTGGCTTGCTCCTAGTTTTAAAGGCAGCTAAACATTTTAACAAGCAGCTGTATCATTCTGGAAGAGGACCAGAGAAATAAATGCCCTCCCGGGTCACTGAGTTAGCTTCATTATGAGAACACCAGCCGGGATGATGTAAATATTTGGGGAAGAATTAATAAGATGACTATTCAGGTACACCCCATCCATCCACCCACTTATACTTTATTTATTCCTTTACGTCAGTAAAATGTGTGTATGGGGGGCAGGAAAGGATCTTCAGAGATGAACCAAGCTGTTTATTCCTTTCTACCCCAGCAGTTACTGTACATCAATTTATAGTGTCCAGGTTATCTGTGCAATAAGAAGGCCTAAAGACTCACTTTTTATTTTAAACAAAAGCCAAAATTCTCCTTTCTGGACCTGAAAAGCCACCTGCTTTTAACAAAGGGCTCCCACAAGCCCCTGCAGAACCCCTCCTGCTCATCACAACTGCATTGTAGAAATTGTCAAGAGGGAAACAGGAGGCTCGGGCAGGAAAGAACTGGAGGGATGGGCAGCTGGGTGCTTTTTGCAGCTCGGGCAGTAGCAGGTTGGAAACGTGGAGTAAGGAAATAGGCTGGATGTTTCTATTAAAATGATCCTCATTAAAATAATTTACAATGTTAACACTTTAAATGTCATCTTCAGAATTAACATCCTATTGAGAACAATGGAGATGTTCACACCCCTCTGAGCTATTGTTTCTGGTTGTGTGCAGATTCCAGAAGGCACCACTGAGCTGATTCCCACTGAGCATACTTTTAAGGTATTTTTACTGCCATGAAAGCTAGAAAGGGGGTTATTCGTTTTTTTGGTTGTTTTTCTTGGTTGTTTTCTGAAAGATCAGGATTTTGACGCATGGTTCTGCAGCAAGGTGTGGATTAGAAATAATAAGTATGGCTATAGCCAAGCAGACAAAAAAGCATAAATGACCCCTGAAGAAACAGGCTAATCTCCTCTGTCACCTTGAGTTTTCTGTAGAGTTGTACCAAATATCGAACTCAAAAATTAATAATACCTGAAATATCTTTTTTCAAGCTAAACTGCAGCTTCTGTATACATGAAACGTGTTAATGTTGTGAAAGTTACTAGTGACCCCCCCCTTAACAGAGCAGCCTTTATGTCAACCGGTGGCCATTAGGGGGAAGCAGACACTTCAAGTACACAGTAGCCTGAACTTTTCAACTGTCTTCCCTTCAAAGCCTTAAGGTAGTTGGAGCTGGTCCCAAGCCGGTTTTCACTGACCAGATAACAAAAGCACGGGTCTGACAACCACCAATCAAGTGTTAACGCTGCAAGGACCTTTGTCTGAATGTGTATAAAGGATCTGTAAAATGTGTGTAAGACAGAGTTTTTGTACTAAGGTGCAAAGCTCTCCTTTCTTCTGCAGAATAAAGCAACTCTTCCTTATCCCTGTCTGGCTGCTATTGGCTCTCAGCTAGGTGGACCCGATATTTCGGTAACAATGTCAAAGTTAAGAATGTGAATTTCTCCAAGTGTTTGCTAGGCACTTTTTTTTCCCCTTAAGTGGATTGGTTGGCAATAGTCAGATGGTATTTCTTCAGCTACCCCTTGTATGGATCAGAGCCATTTCAATTCACATTTCTCTGGAAGGAGACTGCATTTCATTTCTCTCTCTGAAATAGTCAGAGAATAATTAGTGCCTATTAGTCTCCCATGTTTTGAGACTCTAGATTGTAATTTCATGGCCTGGGAGCGGCTTTTTCCTCCTCAGCAGTTGAGATTCTAAAGAAGCCTCATATTATAGGCACAGACGCTCTCTGTATGGCCCTGGGGCTACTGCCCTGTAGAATTTTCACACTTCTTTTTCTACTATTGGTGACTCACATTCATTATGATGTCCAACTGGGGAGAGGGGGGAGAGATGACCTCCTGAAAAGGTCTCTCTTGATCTGATGTGGCATGAAAAACATTCCTCATAACAGGAAGAAAGTGAAGAGCAGCAAGGACAATTCTACATTCCCAAAAGAAGAATGTGCCTCTGTCTGAGCACTATCACCAAAGGACCATAGCTAGAAGGCTTGGCCTAGGGGGCTATAGGATTAATTCCTCAGCATTGGCTCCCTTCCAGTGTGGCCATTCCACATCCAGACCTCAGAGTGTGGCTGCCCACAGATATAGGTGTAATTCACCAAATTTAATAGGAAGACCAAGCATCTGGGCAGCTCTCCGAACCAGAAAGTGGGGCTGGTGGTGCACATAAAAGATGATGCTTTCTTTCAAATTGGGAAAGAAGGATTCTTGTGACATGTTAATTCATCTGAACATAAATAAGCTCACCCCCCTAGGGCGATCATGATAGACCGGTGCACACCAATAAGGAGTAGCAACCAAACATTGGTCCCCATGAAAAGACTACAGGTGGACACTACACCATACTCCAGGGCAAAAGCTGCATTAGTGCAAGTATGGCTACTGCTCTGATGGCCCAACTGAAGGAGCAGCAGCATCACACCAAACTGCTGCTGCAGCTGTGGTTCCATTCTCCCCTACAATTTTCACTGATATCTGCCACGGATAGCATTTGCTGGGAAAGTGCTGCTCTTTGCTCTGGCTTGCCTAATCTAAATAACATCATGCTCACCCCACACCTCCCTGTTGCTTAGTGCCAAAAATGTTGCCACTCAGCTACCGGGTGATCTCATTTATTAACTGAAAGGATGTAAGAAAGAACAATTCATCTCACAATGGTCACAAGAACCTACTGACACACCATTAAGAATCTATATGGGAGCAAACCCACTTTGGTCAGCTTTGTGGAGGATGGTCAGCCCCAGGGGGAACTGCGGCAGCATTCAGTAGAATGTCTTAATGGGAACATGCCATTTCAGAATAACCACAGTAACCGATTAAATCTGTTGCGTGAACTGAGTGGCAGGTAAATTCCTCAGCCACCCCGGATCCATAGGCTATTCTTGAACCACAGGGTCAATGTGGTGTATTACAGCAGGTTTGTCCATAGACCCTGTTTTGCAGACACCAGGACAATCCTAGCTTCTCTGGCAACGGAGGGATCCTCTGGCAGCAGAACTGATGCAGTTCAACTGCATGGGAAGAAAGGGGATTTGAGGGGATGCACTTCATGCACAGTGCAAAGCCCTGCTCTGCAGGGATAGGACCCCAGAATCCACTGTCATGTGGATCATACGATCCTCCCCACAACAGGGACAAGGAGAATATAAAGGCAGGGAAGGCTCCTGCAGCCATTGAGCAGCAGAGAGGGGAGAATTTCTCCCCACAATTGCCTGTGCATATTGCATGGCCTGGCTACTCCAGGTAGGCACAGGAATGTAAAACTTCCGTTAAAAAGTGCACCACTTCTCCTTGCAGTTCCTCATGCACAGCTGTGAGTGAAGGGGGCTTCACGCATGCTTCAGTGCATGGATCAGTCATTTCCCCAAACTTTTGCAAAATAAGTATTAAATTCGAGACAGCTCAGCTTCTCCTTTGGCCCCACAGTAAAGTGATCATGTCCATCCCCTTCTACCATCAGCACGCTACCTTAGAGAGAAAGGCCATGTCACAGCCACATTATCACGTTGCTGCGGGGTGAGGGTGTGGGGAGAAGATTGGTGAGAGAGACTCAATTTTTTTTTTTGGAACTACTCACAAATCTTTGATAATTAGGAGATACCATGCACGAAATGGATGTATTGGTAGGTTTGAAGGCTACCTCCAGTGTGAAAACTCCTGGTAAAAGCTGTTGAAATGTGGTATTTGAACCACGCATGTTCAGTGCGGGCTGGGATTAAAAATGACAAGATCACAAGAAAAGCGACAGACCACTCAGCAATAAGTGTCAGGGACTGATGGAGATACTAGCATTGGGCTGATGAAAAGAGAGAGAGAAAAAAGGACTCTATAGAGAAACAAGGCCGTAATTAAATGGAACTTCTGCATAATGAGACTGAAAAGTGCTGCTGGCACGTTGCAGCAGGATGTGATTCTGTAACCACTACGGACCAGATTGTGTCTCATATGCACAGCTCCATGATGGGCGGTGGGACAGAGCAGCACTGCACCAGGGAGAATGACAAGGGGCGCGTGGCCTCAAGGGTTGCCAACCCTCCAGGATTGTCCTGGAATCGCCAGGAATTAAAGATTAATCTTTAATTAAAGATAATGTCATGTGATGAAACCTCCAGGAATTCATCCAACCAAAGTTGGCAATCCTATTGGCCTCCCTGGCATGCGGGGGAATATGCGCCCCACTCCACAGGCAGGATTAGCTCTTTCTGCAGCTGGGCAAATTAGTTTATCAGCAGGCAGGGGGGAAGGGCAGGAGAAAACAGGCCAATGGACTTGTTTCCTCTGAGCCTCTTCTGGGCTGCTGCACATGATCTCCCACCCTTGTACAGCAGTTAGGCACAGTCCAGCCCCTAGCAGCTGATTTATTAGAAACACTAAGATCTGCAAATAGTCTGAGTGAATTCATCCATCTACATTTACTTGTAAAATGCCAAAACCAAGGCCCTCAGCCTTGATTTGAATGATCAAATAGGCCTTTCTGTGTATAAAGCAAGTATGAGGTACAAACAGGCAAGTGGCTTGGTATTATGTGTTTGATTTAATGGCATAGTGTAAATAACATGCCCAATGACTCCCAGGGGAGAGCAGTAGATATATATGGAACAGGAAGCACACAGGTCTCTGTTAAGCAGTTCAGCTGTTCAGTTACTAATACCTGTCATCACAAAGGGCAATTCTCCTGGACAAGGCTACTCTGCTCAGTGTACAAGTAGGAACATGTGGGTGGCTCTGTTTGTTTGTTCTCCAATACACTCTTTGTTTGCTGTTACCCAAGGTAATCACAAAACAGGCAAATCCTACCCTGAGACAGGGACTGCAGTGGGGAAAGAGGGTTATTTTTAAAGCTCTGTACTCTTAAAGGGAATTTTGAATATGAAAGGCTTATTTCTAGGGAAAAGTAAATATTAAGAGGTCAATTATGCACTATCCAGCGAGGGGTGGTGAACTACAGATTGATTATTAAAAGCTACTGTATCGTGTTGTTGCTACACAGTGACTGAATGTTTGTTTGCGTCATAGCATGGCCCTTGAGAGCTAGAATAATTGTTTCTTGCTCTGGCAGTCCTCCTTGTGGTTAGGAGCTCCCTGTAACAGAGACAGACAGAGGCTGAAATGTTCTACACCTAAGGAGGCAATATCCACCCCAACCCTACACTGGGGTTCAGTTGGGTTCTGATGGTCAGGAGTTGGCCTATCATTCTGTTGCCTCTTTGCTTACAAATAGGAAAACTGAAGACTGTGGGTTTCAGAATTATTTTTACATTAACTCAAGCATACTTGTTTAATGGGAGGTAATTGGACTTTTTTTAAATAAAGGAGGAAGATTTTAATTCGTTTGTGTGGGGGGATTATGACTAAATTTCCCACATGTTGGTCTTGCATGATGAGCTCCATGTGGGCAGACCCCTGCATAGCTCACTGCAGGATCAGGGCCACAGAAAGAGAACCAATCGGAACAGGCCCAGAGGCCTCTCAAAGCAAGGCTTAGACACAGCTAGAGATATCACAAGTATGGCTCCAGACAGTACTGAACTTCAGGCTGCCAGCTTTCCTGATAGGCTGTGATACATTTTAGCAGATTATTACTTTAATTAGGGATGGGGGGACTGTTTGTTTTGGTGCCATGCCACTTGTCTCTCTTTAAATAAAGCAATTTTACCTAAGCCTTGCCTGGCTCTTCAATGAGGTATCGGAGCCGCTCACAAATACTAAGCCAAACTGGTTAATAGTATTAGGACCATAAATGCTGAATTAAATCAACCTGGAAGTAACTCTGTTTTATTTTCAGATTCATTTAGAATAAAAAGCATAATTAGTGTTCCAAGTAACTTCATTAAATGGGGCCAGTTGTTAAAAGTAGGGGCTCATACTGGGGATCAGTCATACACAATCTGATTTTCTCTGGTCTCCAAAATACAGTACAATTATTGCCAATCCCTGGAAGGAATGCTTCCAGCTCCAGAAGGAGAAGATAGAACTTTGTTCATAGAGAAAATTGGTGTTGATGGGAGATTCCATTTATTTTTATGCCAATAATATGACATTTGCCTTCTTATCCTTTCATGCAAGGATAAGCATTTCAAAGCACTTTTAAAAACATTAGTTCACACGTTATTTCCAAAAGTTTATTCTAAGACACTAAGTTGGCTGTTTTGACTTGAGCACCCTTTTTCTTACCTCTACAGTACATGCTTTTGAATTGAATGGGTAGCTGTCAACTCCTGTGTTGTAAAGATTCCAGGAAGAACGATTTACAAAGGTGAGACTGCGGTTTTAATTACGTACAGGCACCAATTAGCCTTCTGAGGTGGGAGTCTGAGACTTGTACAGCTTGACCCATGAATGGTCCCTGTTTTATCCCCCTTTCTGCAGAGTGAAGAGCTGTAACACATCCAGCTAGAGCCACACATTTAAGTAAAGCACAGTCTGAAATTTGTAAAGGGTGATGGTGGCTAGTTCTGTTTCGGTCACTAGTAAGCAGATGGTTAAACAAAGAAAGGGGATGCCTCATGTTCTAAGCATCGAGTTTGAAATATATAGACTCTCTGGAACCATGAATATGTATCCTTAAAGGGCCAACTCTTTCAGACAGAAGTACTGTCTTCTCTACACACGTCTACCAATCCCATATCATCTTCTGTAAAAGTAAGTGTTTGCCACAGTAGCCTTAGCCAAAAATTTCATTTCCTGCTGTCTATACAGTTCTGTACCTTGGAAAGCGTATTTCAGTGATGCTTGTTTGTATCTAATTTGCACATCATTTCAGCATGAAAGATATTATAAACATACTCTCAAACATTATGCAGATAAACCTGAAAGAGCACAGTGCTCAAAAGGTGACAGCTGCTTTTTACAATGTAGACTAAGAAATAAGAACTTTGTATGATGTATGAAGGCATGAAAAGGTTTAGCTTGTATTTGTTTGGGTTTTCTAAGGAGCGTGGGAAGGAGAGAGAGGTGGTGACTGTCAGGTTGACGTCTTAAAACTGGGATAGATCAGGAGTACCACGGCCACGTCTCCACTATGGGCACTACAGCGGTAGAGTTACAGCACTGCAGCTATGCCACCATAGTGCCTTAGAGTAGGCGCTTCCTACAGCGAGAAATGGGATTGTTCCACTGCTATAGGTAATCCACATCCACAAGTCACAGTAGCTAGGTCAATGGAAGAATTCTTTAGTTGACCTAGCGATATCTAAATCGGCTTAACTACAACACTCAGGGCGGTGAATTTCTCATACCTCTGAGCTATGTCAACCTAATTTTTAAGTATAGACCAGGTCCCAAGCCTGGTTTTTGCTGGAGTAGCTCTTGGGACCTTACAGAGAGATGTCAAATGTGTAACAATGACAACATTTCTCCAAAACACTGACAGGTGTTAAAAATTTCAAATAGTCCAATTAAAAATCCCTTCCCTCTCAACACTCAACTTTAACTCTCTTCTGACGCCACATTTTCACTTGTCTCATCGATATAATGGCTTTTAAAGCAGAAAAGACTTGACTTTAAGTGTAAAAATACAGGTTTTCAAAAAATCATATAGGTCTCCTTTCTACATAATAAAAACCCAAGAAAAATAAGGGGAGTGCATTAGAGGAAAAGGGGGCACAAGTTCAATGCTCCCCCTCTGCAACTCTCAGTGATCTTAATTCTATAAAAGCAAGTGTCAATTTCCGTGTAGAGCTATTTGTTCTTTAAAAGCAAATTTTTAGCCACTAGATGGCAGCAGGAGGTTGTTAGTTAAAATAGTCTGAAAGTGTGTGGGATATTTGGACTGCATTTTTTTTTTTTATTATGAAGATGATTAGGTGATTATCTTTGTTACAAAAATGACCTGGTGCTTAGCGTGGCAGAATCACTGCTGAACAGGGACAGACAGATTTGGAAATAGTGCTGCACATGGTTTGACCTTGTCTATAGTTGCTGCTAAATAGTCCTCAGCATAGGTTCAGCTACACCCATTGTTAACATCCATCATTTGCCATGGGTCATTCTCTGTAAAGTGGACAAACCCTGTTGATGGGGAGCTTCTCTCTTCCAAGTTCCCCCAATTTGAGTTTCCCTTTGAGCAGATGCAGAAGTGCAAGACATGCAGTGAATGCAGTCTGAAGGGAAGCAGTAGGGAATGTAGTGTTTTTCTGTGACTTACTCAGAAGTGATGAACAGGACCAGCAAAAAAAATGGCAGCAAGTTCCCATCAATGGGTGAAGGGAAGAACTATGTTTGGAAACAGTCTTCAACTATTCTTTAGCTTTACTCCAACAGCAGCAGAGAGTTTCTGTAAGTGTAGTGGAAAAAACGTCTTTGGGCAGATTCTGGAGGTCTGGGTGTGCTCACCCTTTGCTGCACCAATATAAACACACCTGTTTAATGGAGCTTTTTTTTCTAATCTGGCACACACCATGCTGTGTATAAGCAGGAGGTAGGGGGAATTTCTATGGCTCAGTGCCAGCTCCAACTCAACCTGATCAAAACAGAGCTCAATTTTCCTCCTCAGCCCTCCACTCTTCCTCCCTCAACCATCCGCCTCATCTCTCAATTTTCCTCCTCAGCCCTCCACTCTTCCTCCCTCAACCATCCGCCTCCTCTCTCAGGTTTACATCCTGTGCCTTCTCTGACAACTCCTCACCACCCCTCCAGGCTGTCATTAAATCATGACACTTCTCCCCATTTTGGACATCTGACTTTTCCTTTCCATCCCAACAGTCAAAACTTGTTCCCAATCTGATCTCCCACCTCAGGTACTCTTACCACCCCTCTGTTGCCACTCTGATACCTTTATCACCGATACCATCCCTCCAAGCTGTCCAAAGTGTCTCAGCCAAAATTATCTTCCCCCAGTGAGTATTGTTCTGTGTCTGTTTCCCACACGGTTAACACTCCTCGGCAGACTGTCCCAGCAGCTGATTCTTGTACAGCACAGAACACAACACGAGTTCCTAAAAAATAATAATAAAAATCCCCCAGCTATGTTTTCAGGTAACTTCTATGTAGCCAAAATATATGTGAGAAATAAACAATTTATCATGCTGTGCAAATGCCTTAGAAAATGTAAGACCCATCTACTTTTTCAATAGCAAAGTTTGGATGGACGATTGAGAGCTTTTGCAAAGCCAAGCTGATTCATAGATTTTTAAGGCCAAAAGGGGACCATTGTGATAGTGCAGTGTGCCTTCTTGCAGAACATAGGCCATTGGACTTTCTTATATAATTCTTGCATCAGGTCCAATAGTTGTGCTTGCACTAAAGCATCTCTTTAAATGTTTTTTTTTAATCTTGATTTAAAAATTTCCAGTGATCTGCCAGAAACCACATCTTCATTTACCTTGCAAGAAACAATGTGAATTGCAGACCTCACTTGAATTGTGTGCTCTAGACACAGGGCTGGATTCATTTTGTAAGAGCAGGGGTCCTGGTGAGTGTCCATGCTCTCATCCTGTTTAATCATTTCAACCAGAGATCAACCCAATTTGGGGTCCTTGATTAATTTTCCACTTTTCTTCCCTTTTGCAGACTGAGGCCTTTGCCCTCTGCAGTTTCCCTGTGTCCTGTGGAGTGGAGAAGTCCAAACTGCGATACTGCTTCAAACACCGCATGTTCCCTTCTGATATCAACAGCCCTGAGAGGCTCTGTGGGGAGGTAGACAGAGGAACACAAGTATTCTTCCCCACACCTCCATGGAGCAGCTGGGAGACTGAGTGACACCACCTAGAAAAAAATTAAGCCTCATATGCATCAGAGGGTGCAGGTAAGGGAACTTCAGATAAAAACCAAGGCCTGCTTCTATGAAGTGGGTTTTGAGGCTCCCTTTGACTTCCCTGCACCGCTCTTCCAGTGACAAGAGAGGCAGGATAGCAGCTCTGGAAGAGGGAGCTCAAAGTGGTTTCATTGAAGCTGACCCTGAGGTCATCAGGAGGAGGAGGGATGATTTTGCCTCTGCACACACGCTGCCAGAGGATTTGTTGAGGGGCCCACTGCTCTTATATTTGTGTTAGAAAACAGAGTGACAGGTCATCTCCACAAGACCATATAAATTGCTATATTGGTAAATGGTTCATCTACTCCGGCTTTCTGTCTTCAACAGTAGCCAGCTTCTGACAGCCATTGCTGCTAAGAGAACTACTAAAGCAGGGTAAGGGAGTTTTCTCACTTTAAAAGGAAGTAGAGTCCCATCATCCGTCTTGAAGCCCTCCGTTTCTGCACTGAGTCCCCTCTTTTTCTAGAAAAGTGAATAGAGGATTAGATAGGTACATAAAGGGTTAAATAACTTGAGTAAAAAAAAAAAAAGACGCCTTGCCCTTTGTGTAAAGTGAACATCCTGCTAGCACAGAGGTGGGCAAACTACGACCCGCAGACCACATCCGGCAGGGCTGGGAGCTCCTGGGGCAGCACCACTGCAAAGCCCGGCCTGACCCGGTGCTCTGTGCTGCGCAGTGCGTGGCTGCAGCGCCACCAGCCACCGGTGCTCCAGGCAGCGCGGTAAGGGGTCAGCAAGCAGGGGGGTTGGATAGCGGGCAGGGGAGTTCGGGGGGATGGTCAGGGGGCGGGAAACAGGGGAGTTGAATGGGGGCAGGGGTCGGGGGGGCAGTCAGGAAGGGGGGGTTGGATGGGGCAGCAGGGGGGCAGTCAGGTGACAGGGAAAATGGGTGGTTGGATGGGGCAGGGGTCGGGGGGGGGCGCCGAGTAAGGAAGGGGGAGGGTTGGATGGGGCGGCAGGGGGCAGTTGGGGAGGGGTCCCGGGGGGCAGTCAGGGGACAGGGAGCGGGGGAGACCATCAGGGGACAAGAAGCGTGGGCGCACGTGTGTGTGGGGCGGGGGCAGGCCACGCCCCCCTCCCCTAACCGGTCCTCCATATAATTTCCAAAACCCGATGCGGCCCTCAGGCCAAAAAGTTTGCCAGCCCCTGTGCTAGCAGTTGTGAGAAAGCCTTGTTGTAAAAACTGGACTTGGAAGGTAATTGATAAGAGAAAAAGCCTTGTAGAAAGGGAGCCCAGTTGTAAATCTTGTCTATTCCAGGCCTAAGAAAAGGGTCCAGTCTTAAACTTCCCCAAACTGATTCTTAGCTATCGGCAATGACAACACTTGTTTGTTAAAAGGTATAAAAGTGTACACTCTGAAAGAGTTCATTACTAGTACCTGCTTCACCAACCTGGAGCCAGCCAACATGGGTTTGAGCACCCCGGGGTCTAATCCTCTTATGGGTATAGTAACTGTTTATTATTTAAGCTTTTCGACATGTTTAGCACAACTGTATAGCATTCAGCCTTTAGATTACATAAAGGAATGTATGGTTAAATTGGTGTAGTGATAATATCCTAGTAATAATTCCAACTGTGAGATTCAGTACAGAAATGTAAAAGTTAAATTTCTTCATGTCCAGCGAAGCTTTAATTCTATCAGGAAACAAGGGGTTCTCTCTCTCAATTCTGCTTTTGCCTGAAAGGCCTTCAATTCTTTCTGGAACAGCTTTTTAAGCTTAACTGGCGTCAAGACTGAGCTTGATAAATGCATGAAGCAGATGGTATGATGAGAGTGCCTACAATAGCATGTAGCCGATCCGCGACTGCAAGCAGCAGTATCTCCAATGGCCAGTGATGGAACACTAGATGGGGAGGGCTCTGAGTTACTAGAGAATTCTTTCCCAGGTGTCTATCTGGTGGGTCTTGCCCACATGCTCAGGGTCCAAATGATTGCTAAATTTGGGGTCGGGAAGGAATTTTGCCCCAGGTCAGTTTGATAGAGACCCTGGGTTTGTTTTTGGTTTTTTTTTTTTGCCTTCCTCAGCAGCATGGGGATAGGTCACTTGCAGATTTAAACTAGTGTAAATGGTGGATTCTCTGTAACTTGAGGTCTTTAAATCATGATTTGAGGACTTCAGTAACTCAGTCAGAGGTTGGGGTCTATTACATGAGTGGGCGGGTGAGGTTCTGTCATCTGCAATGTGCAGAAAGTCAGATGGTCCCTTCTGACCTCAAAGTCCATGAGTAATTCCACCATGTGGCGGCATCAGAGAAGGATCTGCATTTTAGTTACAGAAGCCAACTGGGTGGCAGCCCAGAGCTGCTAAAGGTATTACTCGGCCTTTAACTGTGAAATTAATGGATTCTGAACTACATTCGTTATGTGAGGGGTCAAGCCTGAAGTTTTAACCTTACAACAGTCATGCAACAGCTGCCCTCTGTGCACCTTTAATGTCTCTGTCCCATGCCAAACCTTAAGGGTAGAGCCCTGTCTGCGCACCACTGAAAAAAGACCTAAGGAAACTACAGGGCTCCTCCTTTCCCTGTTTAAAGTTTTATTTGGAATATTTCTCTATCCAGTTCATCCTTGTTGTTAAAAATCTCATTACACACAAGCAGAAGGTATCAGTACTATTAATTTCTGAATGCAAATGTGATTATACAGCAATTCATGCTCACAATGTTGCCGTGCGAACTTCGTTCCACAATACTCCATGTGTGACAATGCTGATGGTTAAAGATTCATGGTTTAAACCAGGGGTATCAAACTTATTCTGTGGTGAGGGCCATTTACCCTTTTGGCTGGATTCCATAGATTAGAGTGATACGGTAAGTGAGGTAGCATCTTTTATTGGACCAACTTCTATTGGTGAGAGACAAGCTTTTGAGCCACACACAGCTCTTCTTCACAGACGCAGGAAATAAAATTTCTAAGCCAGCCACGTTGCTGAGGCACACATTTTTAGTACTGCCTCAGGGAAAACTCCCTCTGATTGGCTGCTTTCCCCACTTGCCTTCCTCCTCGGAAAGAATAGCCAATCAGGACAGCTGCAGAGGTAGAACTGCTCTCCCTCCTGCCCCTCAGGAGCTCACACCAATCTCATGACAGGAGGGAGCAGAAAGAGCCCAGCAACTCAGGGCAGCTGCTCCACTTCCCCCTCCCCTCTTGTGAGCAATGGGAAGGATGTACTCTTTCCCCGCTTCCCTCTCCCTCCCTGCAACACTGGGCTGAGAAGGGGGAGAGCGGATACCTGCTGCAGCCCCCTTCCCCACTCCAAAAATAGACTGGAGAGGGAAGCATCCCAGGAGCTGCAGAGATGAGGCTGGGACCAGGGGCAGAATTGATGGCAGGGTTGGGGGACAGGATTGGCTTAGATGGGAGAGAAATAACTGCTGAGCAGGATAGGAGATGTGGGGTGAAGAGACCCTCCCCCACACAGCGCTGGAGGCAGCTTTCTTCCACAAGGCTGAGCTGCTTAGAGCAGCAGAAAGAGGCAATTGATCTTCTGGGCCTGGTGCTGCCTGGCTCAACAGTAGCAGCAAGTGAGGAGAAGTTGGGAAGGAATCTCCTGTTCGAGATCTGGTGAGAGCTCAGTTGACTGTGACCAGTCAGGCACAATCTCGCTCCTCCCAGGCTCTCGCCCTTTTGAAGTGTAGCATGTGCAGGCTGGATGCCTTAGAGGAGGAGGAGGGAGCTGCAGGCAGGAGGAAAAGATCTTGTGGGCACTATGTTTGACACCTCTGGTTTAAACTACACCTCTACCCCCATATAACATGAATTCGGATATAATGCGGTAAAGCAGTGCTCCGCGGGGAGGGGGGAAGAGAGGGGCTGTGCACTTTGGCAGATCAAAGCAAGTTCGATATAACACAGTTTCACCTATAACACAGTAAGATTTTTTGGCTCCCAAGGACAGCGTTATATCCGGGTAGAGGTGTAACTGTTTCTCTAGATGCAACTTAGGTGGAGAAACATCCTCCTTGAACTGCTTGCCTCCCACTGGATTCTCTTATATAAATCAGACAGAAGTAGCACAAGCCTGCTCCTAGCAGAGCTGGCTTGAATGTTTCAATTTGTCTCTTGCGACTATATGACCCATTATACTTGGACCTCTGCAGTCAGAAGGGTTATGTTCATTCGTTTCATTATTACGTATGTGGAGCTGTAAGCATAAGTTAAGTAACTCATGCGTTTCTGAACGTTTCTTTCCTGCACATGGCATCACAGTATTGCCAACCTCAGGCATTCAATTACAAATAAAAAAATAATAATAAAAAAAACTTGGGGCTTATTTTATTTGCCTTCTGAGCCTTTGGGGTACATTCAGGTCCTATTTTTAACCTTTTCTCTGCAACCATGAGAGCTGGAATTTTTGTTTTTTCCAAATGAAAGCTGAGATTCTCACATATGACTGCAGGAGAGGAGGCTTTAAGAAAAAATACCCAGGTATCACAAGACTCAAAATAAAATCATGAAAGTTGGCAACACTGCAAAGTGCAACTTTAGGACAATGCTATTTTAATTGAACCATGTCAAACACAACTTTCAGAACAACCACTGCAAGCAATAGACTCAAAATCTCAATTGTAATGACAACAGCTTTACTGTCCAACAGCAAAACTATACACAGGGAACAGCAATTCTTCCCCTTTCAAGCTTTCCTGGGTTGACAAACTGGTGAACAGATCCTCAGAATTACAAAGGATAGGGGTTAGTTTGTTTAGTGTAAGCCAGGTAGCAGAGATTTTTGCGCCAAACTACAGTATATAGTATACACAAATTTTTGCTATTGAATAATGTAGACTAATTTAAGGAAGAAAATGAACACACTGACAACAAAACAAGCTATGCAAATTTTTAAAGTTATCCTTTCTTCATAGTCTAAAATGCAGCGAACCACAAGTTTTTTAAATGGTGAGAAAATGGGTGCCTTCCAGTATTAGAAATTACCAATATCAAATTGTCCTACTTAGGCTAATGAATGTTTCTCACTTTCCTAGCAGAAAAGTGTTTGCTATTTTGAAAATAAGATGACAAAATTAAAAGAACAACTGTTGGCCAAGGAATGAAAATATTTCTAGAAGAAACTATTTCCGCACACAACATTACTTTTATATTTGTCTGAATATCTCAGTTTGATAGAATGTGACATGCTGAATGCTGTAAGAATGTTAGACAAAATAAAAATGACACACAAAGGGTTTTTGTTTTTGTTTTTAAAAAAATTGAATTTTATTTCTTCATTACAAGGTAAACTAGTATTGCAGTTTAAGACCAACAAAAAGGTTGGACAGCAAATTGCTAAATAGTCTTCTAAAGGCTGGAAGAAAGGTAATTAAAAAAGAAAACCAATGAAAACTGAAAATTAATGTAAAATTCCAAGCATAACATGTAAAAGGAATGAGTCTTAATAAAGTTAATTTAGAATCCTAGGTGCCTCAATTGAAAATGTATTCAGAAATGCACCTTACCTTGCTG